GAGTGTATTGTATAGTTTGTCAAAGGAAAGCGCGCATAATTCTTACTAGATTGTCTACCGAAATTTTTATTAAGAAACTCCTGAAACTAATTGGTATAATTTCTAAATGGAAGTTTAAATTTGCCATAATGAAAGAGTGGCGAAGTTTGAAATAACAAAGAAAGGAGTGCATTTAACACTTGCTGAAGGAGGTTAATCAGCTGTGGAATAATAGTCTTTACTTTTGCAGAATTGGTAAGCATGTGGCAGGATTAATCAAATTTTGATTACATCTTTATCAGCAGATTCTCCCTAAGTCTTGAGAAACATGTTTGCACCTCAAGGGGAAAAAAAAAAGGCTGAACTTAGAACCTTCATATTCAGTTATTTTTAAGGAACACAAGTCAGAAAAAGCAAGCCAAGATTTTAGAAAACTGAGTCTGTACTTTCACACTTGGAATTTTAAAGTTGTCAAGACTCTCAAAAAACACATGCTAAGTTTGGAGGGCCATGGTAAAAGAGCTCTGGAGGAAAAAAAATCTGTTGATAAAACTGGCTGGCAAATCATGCCATGTAGGAAATCTCCTATGAAAGTGGAGATTAAACTTTCAGAGTAAAGAAACAACCTTCTTTGAACATGCCTTGATTTAGTCTAATGCCTATCATTGTCTACAGAACAAAGGAAAGTGAAATTTTGAGGTCAGAATCTCACTAGTGCCTCATGGATGTGCAGCAGGGAGCAGAAGCTTGTTTTAGTGCATACTGGTATAAATGAAAAGAATAGCAAGGCAAGTGGAAGGTGAAGGAACACCAAGACTTCTGACTTCTGCCCTTTTTTTAATTAACTATACATGAAATCTGCAACTGAGGCACAGCAAGATGGTTTTGAAAATCATACAGTACTATGGATTTAAACAGGTTGTCAAGACTGAGCCTTTCTGCCTGAGAAACTATGATCTGTCTTAGGCCATGAACTGGGAAATACCTGTCCAAAAAAAATACAGGCAACAGACACTGATGCTACCCGCAGCATCGAGAAAAGTCCTAGAGGCACAAACCACGGCAGAAGACTATGAGGTGTATAGACTTTTTTCCTTCTCTCCTGTAACAGGGAGACATCATTGCATAGGAAACATGGGAAATAAATCTATTGCCACCATCTCCCCAAAAAAGAGAGGCTTTGCAGGTAGAACACAGAACTAGCAGTCCCATCCCAGGAAGTCTGCACTGCCGACTATCCCCAGGAGTGCACATCCTGCAGTAAAACAGTTTTCAAATCTGTAGTCTGATTTGGTCATAGCTGCAATGGATTAACATTAAAATGACTCACTGCAGCGCTATTCTTAAAAAAATTAAAGACAGAACCAAAGTCCCATTCAAAGTAATAACAGTAATCACAGTATCACACCTGGGACACTAATTTGCCCCTGAATTGATAAATAAAATGATTACATTTTAATTTAGCAGTAATCTTTATTAAAAACCACCATTTACAATTAAAAGCAACATTGCAACTGAAGAGAAAAAGAGCTTTGAAGTAAGATCTGGAGATAAAGTGTTATTCAAAGGCCGTGAGGCGAAAAAAGCCATAAGAAAGAATTTTTGATAGCTGGAGAGCCTGAGTAAACAAATCCACTGTCAGAATGAGGAAGGGAAAGCCAAGATAAGAAAGAAAAGTGTGAGCCGGCAGTGGAGTAGGGGCACACTGGGTAAACAAGACAGAGAGAAAAATGCATAAAGAAATTTTAAGAGAATTTTATTCATCCTGTACAAGTTAGGTGTGCTTGTTAGAAACTTACTAAAACAGGGTGATACATAATTGAAAATACTATATTTCAATAGTTTGATAGGTTGCTGCACAGGCAGTATAGCCATTAATTATTTGAGCCCTTTCAATCAAAGATTTTATGCATGAAATAATGGACTTTACACGGTTCACAGAAACATATCTAGGCAGACATAGAATACAAAAGAGCACCAGAGAAACCTCAGCATTGTGAGTGAGCCACCAATTAACATGTCATCACTTTAAAGGTACTGTAAGCTTCCTTGTTCTCCATGCCACTAAAGGATCTTGCACAGTGCTTCTGCAGTAGTTCAGTCGAATATCTTGCAAGATCAAGACCTTTGCCAATAAAGTATATCCATAAAAGTACTAACTCAATAATCACTCTTCTTAGTAGAGCAGTAAGTATATTTTCATCTTATGCTAACTAAACTGCCTACATAACCAAACTACACTGCCTACATAACCAAACGTCCATTCCATCATGTGGAGGGGTGCTAAATAAAATTGAGAACTTGACAAAAATGCAATAGCTTTTCCTAGGTTTGAGATTCGAATTCAGTAATAGAGTTTGGTATTGTCAGAAGCCTGAAAGGATAGAACTCTAACAAATTCCAAGCTGCAATCCAGAAAAGCTGGAGACTTTTGCGCTAGAGAGCACAACGGTTTGTCTCCCTTCCTCACATAGTAATACAGATGACTTCACACACACATACATTCCTTTTATGTAGCAATCTACTATATAAAAATTTATGGGTCATTCTGAAGTACATTTTGATCTTCTATCAAGATCATTCATCTCAATAGGAAAAAGATTTTTTTTTATATTGAGAACAAGCATTTACTGGAATAACTTCACCAGGGGCAGCGTAGAGGCCCCATCACTGTAGGTTTCCAAGATGTGATTGGACAGCATGCTAGATAGCCTCATCTAGGCTCTCTTTCCCACAAAATGTTGGACCCAACCTGGGCTGCTCTATGATTTTTAGCAAAATAGGAAATTTGAAAAGTTAGAATGATAAGAGATATTTTTGCAAAGGTAAAGTGTCACAATTGGCTTGAGAAAGACATATGGGATGATCAACGCAACCTGCTACAGGACTTTGAGAAGGAAACGTGCTATTTCTGCCTCTTGTTGAGCTCTCCATTTGAAACAGTTGTTATTCTCATTTAATACACTATGAGGATTAGAATAATGCTGATAGTTATCTCTCTCACAGGATGTTACGAAGACTGATTTGTTCATGTACATTATTTTAAAAATGCAATACAGAAGAATAATGTTATACATTATTAGCACTGGTAGAATAGTAATATAGTTTTATATTAACTCAGCATTTCACAAACAGCTAGTAAATTGCTACTCAAAAGGTCTCTTCTCCTTCTAGCATTCCTCCCAGATTTCTTCCAACTCCCAAGCTGGTTATTGAGCAAGTTGTAACTAATTTTAAAAGACTAACAGACTTCCCTTGAGGAAGAAAAATCTGAAGACGAAACAGCACAAGCCAGTTGTCCCATTAAAACACTTCTATGCAGACATACTTAGAAAAGCTGAAATAAAATGACAGTAGAGACAATGGTGTTGCACGTACATTCTCAACTGTGCTTAAAATGACCAGGAAATGTGATCCTATATAAGTGACCGGCTTTACAAGACTGTCTCCTGATTGAATTTAAAAATACGTTGCTAATCAAAATCTACAAAATAGCAAAAATTATTTTTTTCTTACACGTTAACATATTTTTCAAGTAGAAAACATAAGAAATCATGTGCCATTAAAATTATCACTGTGATAGGTAATTACCTGAGCATCATAACCAATAGATTCCTCTGTGTCATCAAAAGAAATAGAAGACAAAATCAAACCTACCATCTAGCCATAATTTAGTGTTTCATGATTAAATTTATTGAGCCCTTTTTCACACTTGATTGATACACTTTGATTTCACAATTAAAGACAATTAAATTATTTGAAATGCTAAACCATTTCCTCCACAGAAGTAAACTGGTATTGTCACCCCGTTTGTTGTCACTCTGTTCAGGATGGTAGAGGATTTGTGTTATGGATTTCCTGATCCACCTGCATCCTTCTAGTCCTTGAATAAAACTCCAGCCTTATGGAGAAATGATTAAACACATGTGCCTTTGGCCCTCGTTTTTAAGGCAGCTGGGCTCCTGTTTCATTTTCATCATCACCACCTCCTCCATGTATAGCGAAACTAGGACACAGATGACCCCATGTCCAAACGAAACAAACTCTACCAAAGAAAGGACAGTCTTGTGGTCAAATATTTTATTTACATCTCATTAAACTAATGGGCATTTCAATTCCCATTCAGTTTTTCCCAGTTTTTAAGGTGCTGCACTGTGCTGGTAGCACTAATGGTCCAGTTCATTGTGCTAAGCTAGCCAGCAATGCCACTGCTCTCCCGTGCCTGGTCCCATAGCTTTGAAACACCACAGAAGTGTTGTCTTTAGCCACAAAAGCTCCAGATCATGCTCTCTGTAATGATGGACTCATCTGACTGATTGAAAATGTTGACCACAGAGAAAATTCCACAGGTAATCTGACACAGATATCAGCACCAAAGGCAAATAAATTAATATAGAAATAAATTGGGTAGTGATAGAGAATGCAAGGAAGATGGAGGCTGGATTAGATTAACTGAGGTTCAGATCAGATATTTTGGAAAGATATTTTCACCATAAGGACAGTCAAACAGCGGGGCAGGTTGCCCAGAGAGGCTGCACGATCTCCATCCTCACAGGTTTCCAGAAGCAAACTGGATAAAACGTTGAGCGACCCAGTCTGAAATCATGTCAACTGTGCTTTTACCAAAAGGTTGGACAACATAATCAAAATCAGGAACAGGTCTGTAGCCTCAGGGCATGGTAAAGGCTGGAAAATGAATCAGGCAAGGGCACAAGCATGTGCCTTTTTGCAGCAACAGATTTTCTGGAAACAGGGATTTTATGAAGGTTTGAAGGCGTACAAAGAGAAAAATCTTGTATAAATAGTTTGAATAGTTTAAACAACTTACTTTAATGGCAATACTAGGCAATACAGTTTTAAGCACCAAGAAATAATATCAAATTCTTTAGAATTTTATTAGGTACAAAAATAATTGAGTTATAGAAAAGTATCAATGTTCAAAGATAATCACTTTAAAGAGTCCAAAATTTAATATAAAATGTAATACAGAAGTTTACTATACAATTTAAATTCATGGCATATAAATCTGGGGGTTTTTTGCTGCGTAAGTTCTACCTGAAAAAATTATTTTGTCTAGACAGTTTTAGAGGAATTGCACAGAAAAAACTCCTTCAGCCATGTTTTCTCCCAGTTCCATGACTGGCTAACTTGTACTCACACAAGTGTCCACCAAAATTTCCAGACATCAGAGGTGGTTCCTTAGTTTTCTATGCAATAGTGCTACACTGGAAGTTATTAATAAGCATCATCATATGTAGACTGTGGTTAAGGTGATGTCAGAAACCGATTTCTTTCAGGTTGAAAGCATCAAGCACCACACTCATCTGTGAAGTGGTGGGTAAAACAGTAAGAAGATACTGTCCACATTGAAGCACAAAGTAAAGCCAAGCCATAGACTAAGGGTCTTCCTTTGGGTTAATTCTAGTAGGATGGAGTGGTTGCAGATCTTTGGAACCTGTATAAGAAAAGTTATTAGAAAACCAGTAGCTTTTGAGAAATCATAGGGAATAAGTAGCTGAGTGACCACACGGACAACAGTTAGGGGAACACAGTTCCCACTGGGAAGAGGTCCAGAAATCACAAGCAAGGAAACTGCCTTTGTCTCCATCCCTCCTGCGCTCACAGACACAGAACTGCAGATCATTGGAGGGAAAAACAGTATGGCACAGATCTTGGGGCACCTTTCTAAGAGAAGCAACTGGACATCATTGAGTCCATCATCAGCAAATTTGCTGATGACACCAAATTGGGAGGGAGTGTCGACCTGCTGGAAGGCAGGAGGGCTCTGCAGAGGGATCTGGATAGACTTGAGAGATGGGCTGATTCCAATGGGATGAAGTTCAATAAAGCCAAGTGCCGGGTCCTGCACTTTGGCCACAACAACCCCCTGCAGCGCTACAGGCTGGGCACAGAGTGGCTGGAAAGCAGCCAGGCAGAAAGGGACCTGGGGGTACTAATTGACAGGAAGCTCAACATGAGCCAACAGTGTGCCCAGGTGGCCAAGAAGGCCAGTGGGATCTTGTCCTGTATCAATAATAGCGTGGCCAGCAGGAGCAGGGAAGTGATCCTTCCCCTGTACTCTGCGTTGGTGAGGCCACACCTTGAGTATTGTGTTCAGTTCTGGGCCCCTCAGTTCAGAAAGGATATTGAGGTGCTGGAGCGGGTCCAGAGAAGAGCAACAAGGCTGGTGAAGGGACTGGAGCATAAGTCCTATGGGGAGAGGCTGAGGGAGCTGGGGTTGTTTAGCCTGGAGAAGAGGAGGCTCAGAGGTGACCTCATCACCGTCTATAACTACCTGAAGGGAAGTTCTAGCCAGGTGGGGGTTGGTCTCTTCTCTCAGGCACTCAGCAATAGGACAAGGGGGCACGGGCTTAAGCTCCGCCAGGGGAAATTTAAGTTGGATATCAGGAGAAAATTCTTTACAGAGAGAGTAATCAGGCATTGGAATGGGCTGCCCAGAGAGGTGGTGGATTCACCATCCCTGGAGATTTTTAAACGCAGATTGGACGTGGCACTGAGTGCCATGATCTAGTAAATGGACTGGATTTGGACCAAGGGTTGCACTCGATGATCTCGGAGGTCTTTTCCAACCCAATCGATTCTATGATTCTATTCTATGACATGGTCCCCGAAATCCCCCTTTTTCAGACCAAGAAGAGGCAATACAAAAAGTGACCCAATTCTTACCAATTCTAAAAGGTTTATCTTATAAATTCTGAAAGCTTTGGGTTTACACAATGTTTGAAGAAGCCAGTAAGCCTCTTCCTGGAGTTTTTTCTCTAATGCCAGTACCAATATTCCCAGTTCCTCAGAAATGTTGGGATACGAAAGGAGAAGAAGGAATTTTGTCAGACAAAGCAGGAGGAAAAAAACCACCAATTCACTAATTTTATTATGCTCAAAAAATGTACAAGTCCATTTGGAGGTTTAGAAAGGAACTGCAATGGAAAATGATTCTTAAAAAAAACAAAACAACCCCCCCAAACCACAGCAAAACCAAAAAGGATTTCCGGTTATGTTTAAAATGCAATCTACACCACTTCACCTTTTTTTCATAGGTGCTACTACATCACTGAGCAACAGGAGTGCAATGGGGAGCTAAGTGTCGGGGAGAAGAAGGGGACAGTGTAGGGATAACTACTCACTGTTACGACAGCTATTGATCCTGAGAATGCAGGCATGACAGCTGTATACAGTATTTTTTGGGCAATGCAGTTCATCCATCATTTACTCCTCCATCTAATCTCCAAACATACTGCCATTACCCAATTCCCATCAAGCTGTACTAAATGAGTCTTTCCGCAGAAGCTTACAGGGCACGACCTGCTCCTCCTCTGCTGGCACCACAGACACATAGCCCTGACAGCTTCCTACAGACATCTTTAGCATCCTTTCAAACCAAATTCTTTCTGTTGCAGGACAGGCAGACAACAGGTCAGTGGGGAGATGCTAATTGCAAATTAGCTGTACTGCAGGTCTTCCCCACCTCACTTTCATCTCATCAGTACCTTCTCATCGCTTGCTTTCCTGGCTTGCAGTAGACTGTGTCTTGACTGAATTTACAAAAACGCTTGGAACCATTACTGGCGTGACAGACAAACAGCAACCATATCTTTGGCTTGAAAAAGCAACTTCAAGTCTCTGTGTCCTAGGTGTTTCTCAATTAGAGGAGCATGAAGTGTATTTAAACACCACTTTTACAGCAGCAGGTTTTAACACAATCAGGTTTCAGGAGATCTGTTTTTTAAATATCAAACAACAATATGAGAATTCAGGGGGGAAAGGGCAGTAGCCCATAGCAAAAATGCCCAGACTGCAAAGCCCTGGGAAAAAACAATTTCAAGTTACTGAATTACACCATAGAAGACATGAATGGCTGTTTTGAAACAGACTAAAGATCTGCAACAGAAAATATCACACCACACCCAGACACACAGTTAAACAGTCTTGAGAACTGGATACCTTAAGTTAAAAACCAAGCCAATGTGCATGTGTGTTAGGGCGAGCCTGTAGTACTCTCCCGAGCTCCAATTCCATTTTCAACACACCCCATTCCTGAGATGCATGTTGCTTCTATGTGTTTTTCATGTCTCAGTATATTTCTGTGTATTAGCTCCAGTCTCCCCAGATTAACTTTTGGCACCTTTGTCACCCTCCTGCAAAGGGTTCCTGCTTGCTGTGAAGCTGGTTCCTAGTAGTTTCATTTAAGTCATGCTTCCCTTCTGTACTAAAAGCCATGAAACCATTCTTCTCTACCCATCCTGTCCAGCCCACCCACGATTTTCTAAATCTCTCTCATACTTATCTACCAAATTGTCTCTACCAGAATGGTTTTTCTCAGTCATTCTCTTGCTCTGACTATTCCTGCCAATTTTCTCTGAATTTCCTGCATATCCACGTTGAAATGGAAATCCTAGACTGTGCGCAGCTATCAGCCTACACATAAAAGGAGTACAAAAGCCCACAGCCTCATTTCCCTTCCCACATGCCAACCAAGGACAGGTAAAGCATCAGTAGAATGGTGGAGCCACAGCCTCCTATTTTTGACCCTGAATATCAGCTTTCCAAAGATGAGAGTGGAAGCAACACAAGACTTAGGGTAAATTTATGTCAAGAGCAGCACAGAGTAAACATTTCCTCTGACAGATCTCGAGATGGCCCAGCGGGGATTTGGGGCTGCCCTCCAGCCCTAACCTGCTCCAAGGCACCAGAACTGACATGCACACTTCGCAAATGCATCTCTCTTCCAAGGGCAGGGCTGTAGATCCATCTCACTGACTATGCATCCAGATCCACCTATAGATCTGACATTGTGTTTATTTATTTCAGATGAGAATTCCAATTATAGCACCAAATTATTCTGAGGGGGTAACAACAAAGATGCTGCTTTTGGTCCAACATGGATTTATTTCAAAGCAATTTCCAACATGCTGCTCAGCAGCAGAAGTTGTAGAATTGTACACCACAAGGCGGGCTGCCAAAACTGAGCTGTGCTGCAGCTGAGCAGGCAAAAGTTCAACATAAACAAAAAAAACTGAAAATGAAAACTGGGGAGAGAGGGACGGAAGGGGGTTAGGCAGACAAACAGGCAAATGCCAGTGCTGAGAAAGAAGACCCTAAACCCCACAAAAACATTCTCAGTAAGGAGGGAATACACCCTCATTTTAAAACACAGCACAAAGAAGCATCCCAAAAACGGGCTTGTCCCAGCACTGCTAGGAAGAGAGCCAGCAGAAGATTTCAGATTTAGCCGCAGCTCAGATGAGCTTCTTTGCATGCTCAGAATACATTTTTAGAAGGTAGGAGCTCAACCATCAGTGTGGCTGAAACTGAAGCCCCCTAGAAAGCAGAAGCAGAATTAATACCATATTTTCTAACTCTTATTAAAAGAACAGCATTTAGCTCACAGGGCTAATTACCTTAAAATTATGAGAAACTATTTAGTCACCCTTGCAACTTTGGCCTCTCAGTTCTTTGTGCTACTCACTGGCAAAAGCAACAGAACTGTAATTTCAGGGAGACTTTGGAATTATGAACTCATATGATCCACACTCATAAAGGGGCAAACTCATGTGGAACAGGTTGGGCTTTGCAGACAATTTACTGGGGTTATTTACTTTGACAACATCTGCTGTGTTGATACTGTAGTCAAACCTAACAAAAAAGTGTTTGCCAGAGACTGCTCCTTGATGGGTCCTGTAGCTGCAACCTAGGAAGCAGCACTGGAGGATTAGCTGCTGGAAACCTTACTGGAAAAATATGGAGAGAGAGACTCTTCAGGCTGATCTGGAGTGGTCACAAAGAACTGAACTCCCTCCAACGCTCCCAAGGCAGTAGGTTAACTGCTTTGGTATGCTAAGGGACATTTTTACTGATCTGTTATCATCACTATTTGCTATTTTGTGGTGTTAAAACATTGCACCTCAGCAGAAGTTCAATAGAATTTCAGGGAAAAGGCACCTGAATAGGCACTACTGCAATTGAGGAGCCAGGCTGAGCTCAAGGAGCGCTGGAATGAAAGGTCTCAGGTTGTCTTAAGGAGGTGGCAGGAATTTCTCTTAAAAAGTGTCAGATTAACATATTTTATTATGGTTTTGCTACCAGTTCCATATATGATTTAGAAAGTGCTTTTCAGCCTGTTGCCAACAGATCACTGAAATGATCAGAGGGAGAAAACCACATGCTTACACAATCAGTCAAAGTGGGAAAGAAAAAAAACCACACAATGGAGCAATTATAGTCCAAACTTTTTGTTGACAACAAATGAAAAATAAATATCCCACTTGTGGCAACACTACCCAAGATGAATGGTGGCTTTTTCTTTTCATCCTATCTCTTGATCCCAACATCTAGTCAAGCCTTTGACTAAGAACAAACTAGAAACACTGGTAAAAAAAGATAGTGTAAATAACCAGATTACAAAACTTACTGTCAGAAAATAGATAGAAATAAAAT